GTTGTAGTCCCGCCCGCCCCGCGCCCCCACCCGCCGGGCGCTTGCGAGACGGGCTCGGCGTCCTTCGCTGGGGCTGCGCTCTCCTGCGCTGCCTCCACGCGGGGCGGGGGCGGCCCGGGGCTCGCAAGGGGTCGCCCTTGACCCCCTTGGCTGGCATGGCCGGGCCGGATCTCGCCCCCGCCGGGCGCCGGGTCACTGCTCGGGGGACGGACCCGCTACCTGGAACCAGCGCTGTGCTCGGACGCCCGTCCTGTGCTTTCGCCCGTGAGCCAGGCCAGACGCCTCCCGGAATCAGGGGCGACTAGGCCGTGCTGGAGCAGAGCCCTCCCGTGGCTGTCTAAATACATGCCCCCGCCCTGGGTGTCTTTACCCACGCAAAACGGTGCTTCGCGTTGTACAACGACCCGCCAGGAAAGGTGGGACCCGTCATTCCGTGGGCATAGGGGCCTGGTTTAAATCACAGGCCCAGCTCGCTCACGTGCTGCCCCAGTCATTGCAGGGGCCACCATTTTCACACCCAGATCATGGCACCCCCCTGATTAGCTGAGGGGGCAGGTTTAGGGCCAGGTTTAATTGCAGCAGCAAAGGCTTTTTCCTGGCCTTGGAAGCTGCTGGCTGCCTTAGGCAAAAATCCCCGTCCCTACCCAGCACCAGGGCTGTTTGCTCCTCTGGGCCAGAAAACCGGGGCACAGGGCTCTGGGGTGCCTGGAGGCTGCCTTGGCAGATGGGCTTGGCACCGGGTAGGGGAGGAGCTGTTTGCTTCTCCACATGTGTATTCTCTCGCCCCCAGCCCCTGGTACCCCAGGTTTCCCACCTGGAGGGGTAAGCAGCCCCTCCTCTACCCAGTGCCAGGGCCATCTGCCAAGGCAGCCCCCCAACCCCCTGCATCCCAGTTTTCCCAGCCATAGAAGCAAACACCCCTTCCCCTTCCCATCCCCAATCTCCCTCCTCCCCCTGTCCCTTTTGAGTCCCCTTTGCCCCACCCCTGGGCTGCTAGACGTTTTGCTAGGGCCTGGGAAATGCTTTCCCCAGCCTGCAGCAGCCTTCTTGTTGCAACGAAATGCCACGATATGGCCGCTTGCTGCGGAATTCCATATGGCATTTCATTGCAAATCACATATTTCGTGAAAATCACTTAATTTAATGATTTTCACAAAAAATGCCAAATCACGATTGAAACCAGGCCCTGGATCCAGGGACAGCGTAAGACTGGCTGGCTGCAGCAATTACAACTCTGCCACACAAACTGCCTATCCCTATAAAATCAGAGAAGTCCTGCTGGAAGCAACAGGGGGATGTTCTCTTGTTCTTCGCTGTACCTACCCTATTCCTGACAGCTGTTCATCTCACCTGGCAAACAGTGTCCCCTTTGCCCATTGCAGGTGGTCTAGATAGCTCTGACAGTCCTCCTCTCTAAACCTGATCTTCAAAGCAACGCAAATGGAAAAACCAGAGGAGGTTGTTGCCAACAGATGGTTTCTTTGTGACTTCAGTTCTGTGCTGGGTTGGAAGAGCTTCTATTACAAAAAACAGTCCATGGTCATCTGTCCCCTAGAGATGACACTTCCGAGATGCTGGGGGAAGCTTTCACGCTTGTGCAGACTTCCTTTTTTCTGGGGAGGAGTAGGATTTTAGTCTTGCAAGAGCTGAGCACAGAGTCCCACAGGGGCTGCATACTAAGGTGCTCACCTCAAAGCAAAAGCTTCAGAAAAACCTATGCTCAGCAAAGCACTTCTTTGCATTAACATTGATTTAGGTATGTGCTGAAGACAAACAAATTGGCAAAATAGTAAAAAAAGTTCTTCCCCAGTGGAGATTACTTTAGCAGAAAATGTCCCAACAAAAATTCAAAGTAATTTTTGCCTGCAGCTCCTCATGTACTGGAAGAATTGTGTCAGGTCTGTGCTCTGGGCAGAAGTCTGGAGTTTTCCTAAGGTTGCAGCAATCTTAAACTGGCCTCCACCATTACATGGTGCCCTGCAGGGGCAGCACACTGTTAGGAGGGTGGCCTGCTGTGAGGAGTGTGCCCTGCTGGCCATGTGCCATCGTCCAAGCAAATGACAATGCAGGGCAATTCTCCCACATACTCCCCTATTGCTACACCCCTGACTTCTAGGGAACCCAGTGTTGTCAATTCATGATATATTTTCCTTTTAAGTCTCAGATCCTAGAATCCAGAAATTAGAAGATAAACTCAGATTTATGTTTTTGGTTTTTGGTTTTTTTTTTTAGAATTCAGACTTCCTGGTTGTGTAGCGAAACTTGGAAACAAAAGGCTCAAAAAAGGAGAAAAAAGAAACAAAATGACAAATCTGCTGTTTTCAAAGTGTTATGACTTGTAACACATTCTTGTGACTTGTGAGGCAGGGAGCTCGTTCATAGTTTCCAAGACTGTCAATAATTCGTAATGCCTGAGACTGTCAATATTGGAAATTCTGTTTCATTTCAGCACTAGAAGTGACAGCATTTTGAAAAGTAGGTTGCTGGCCATCTGGTCTGAAACTTGTGCAGTGGTTGATCAATGCTATGTTTTTGTTCCTTCCCAGAGTCCTACATCTTGGCTGTACTTTCAGTCATCCATGTTTTTTTAAATTAAATACGTGCTTCCCATTCATCTCCTCTAGTTTCAGTTGTAAATGAAGTATTTGATACTGCCACTTTCAAAATCTGTATCCAGAATAAACTCACAGCTGCACAGGAGTCCCATGAAAGGTAAAGAATAACTTCAAGCACTAAAGAAGACCAATACAATCAGTAGCATTCACGGAAGCAGTTTTTCAGCAGGATTAAGAAATTAAATCTGAAAGGTTTGGTTACTATAGCAACTCTTTTCAGTAATGCTAATAATCATGTTAATTAAGTAATGTGTTTTAAAAGCCAGACCATAACTTGTGAGTGCTTTCCATGAGCTTTAATAGGAACAGGACAAAAACTCATAAAGCTTTATGATTTCTGAACTATGCTTTCGGAGCAGCGTCCTGGGACTTTTTTTTGATTCCCAAAACAGTTACGAATCACCCCCCTGTCTTCCCCTCTGTGCTCAGTGGCATCTCTCCTCCGCTTCCAACCCCTTCTCCTCCCGGTGTCTCCTGCTGCTGCTGTCCCTGGTTGACCTGTGAGTGGGGGGAAGCTCTTGAGGCTCCTGCCCCACTCCAGCAGGGCTGCAGGGAGCTGAACTCAGCTGGGGACAGCAGCAATCATAGTGGGTTGTTTTCCCCTTGCCTGCCTGGTCCCTCTGCATGTTTCCCACCAGCCTGGTATCAAGCACAGAAGGGTAACCTGCCTGGCACTGATGCTGTCTCTGGCCAAGCCCAGCTTCCTGCACAGCTGCCCCACACAGCCCTGGTTAGATCAGGGCAGGTACACCTAGGACAGTGGCAGCAAGAGACAGGTCTCCTTTCTGCACCCAGAGGTGTAGAGAGAGTGAGGGGGGGGAAATGGGAAAGGAAGTTCTGCTGAGTACAGAGGTAAAGAGAGGGTGTGCTGAGAGCTGGGGGGAGAATCTTACCTTACTTGGGGACTTTTTAAGTCCCCAGGTGCTCCTCCCATGGCATGGTTTGCCTGCCCCATTGGTGGGGAACAGCTGGGAACAGGAGGGTGCGGTCACCCCTGCAGTGCTGGTCACTGCTCTCACACCCCCTTTTAAAATCCTAGATCCACTTATGAATGGAGATGGAGTGCCCTTAGTTTGGATTCTCTCTTTGGGAAGCCGTTACAAAATGTTCATTTTTTTCCTGCAGTTCTTCTAAAGTCCTCTTTAAAGTCTTCCATTTCGAGAAATAGAAATAATGACTTTTTCACAGTTTTTTGGCACACATTTTGTCTGGATAGATCACCTATAAACACAAAGCTAACTTAAATTTCCTGGAGGGATCCTGTTTCTGTGTTGGGTCATAAACATTAATTAGCTAAGAGAACAAGAAAGTGTGTTTCTGTGGAATGCAAATAAAGCTTTATGGTTCATTTACACAGAGAGTCTGCTGAGAATAAATCAGCATATAAGGCTGATGCAACACTGTCAGCTATAAGCTGTGGCCCTTTTAAACTAAACTATGAAGAGGGCTACAATATGCAGTAAATGTACATTTGTAAATGTGTTTCAACCAACCTTTTGAAGAAGTGGCTCTAAGTATTTCTCTGTAGCCTGAAGTTACAGAAGTAGCAAACATCTTTTGTCTGATGGTTTGCAGTCAATGTGTATTCTGGGCTTCATCCAGAGCTCACTGAAGTCAAAGTATAGACTTTTACAGGTTTGGATCATGCCTTTTTTAACAGCCTTTCCTGCACATAAACAGCAAAACACCATAGATTATACTTTTGGATGTTTTTTTATGATGGGGACCCTCAAGGACCTGAATAAATCATAGATATAGGGATAAATTTGTGGCCTTTTGGAGACACAGGGCAGGTCTCCACAAGATGCTTTACTGAGTAGTAGAGCTAATTACTGCACAACAAGCATCCACATCTACATGTACAGTCACTTACTGCACAGTAATTGGTTGTAATCATGAGTAAATTTGCTACCTGCAAATGCAAGTAGCAAATTTACTTGCAATTAGTACCTGCACAGTAGCGCACATGTACATGCCTGACTGGGAACAAATGTGCTCCTGGTGAGCTGGGCAGCAGGAGGTGGGAGATTGCTTCCTGGCTCCAGGAGCTGCCTACTGGCAGGGCAGACTCTGCCACTGGAGCCCAGGTAGAGACAATGTCCCCTTGCCCTCGCAGCCCCTGCTCCACACTCTGCAGTCACAGCCTCCCCTCTGTGACTGCAGAGCTGGTGCTGGGAGATAAGGATCTCCCACCCCTACGGGGCAACCTCATGACTTGGGCTGGGAGATAAGGATCTCCCAGCACTGGCCCCATGACTGCAGAGCTGGTGCTGGGAGATAAGGGGGGACATTGTCCCCACACAGGATCCGGTGGTGGAGCAGGTCTGGTCAGCAGGCAGCTCTTGAGGCAGGG